ACTCCAGCTGAGGTCTAACAAATGTCTTACACAAATTCAACCTCACCACCTTGCTCTTATACTATAAGCTGCTATTAATAAAGCTGAAGACACTGTGTGCTTTATTGACTGCTCTCTCTCCACCTGTCCCACCACCCTCAATGATCTGTCCGCAAATACACCCAGGTCCCTGTCCTCCAGCACCCCCTTTAGAATTGTAACCTTTGTTTTTGAGAGGGAATGGAGTGACAATGGAGAGAGGAAGAGAAAGTCCCTCGGGTCACACGTTTGCCAGCTTCCTTACAACCATTGTGTGTCACAGCAAAGGTCTGAATTTATTACCCAACCCTGAGATATAACTGCGTAACTATCCAGCCCACTTCAGATTTCAATTGTGAGTTGACCACCTGGTTTGCTACAGGAGTCATATATCGGTCAGTTTGGATAGTGACAGCTGCACTCCCAATAGTGAATCTGTTGAGTCTTGGCAATAATCAGAAATATTTGTGCACACCTTTACTGATGCTAGGTTTTAAATTACCCTTTTAACAAACTGAGGTAACATTTACAAACCACTGGGATGCGTTAGCCGAAACAGGTTACTCACCTATTCAGAAGCAATGGAGATCAATAGTAACTTTGTGGCAATAGTGTTAACCAAACAATATTGAATTAGCTGACCGTTATAAAGCTTTTATGATATCAGTTTGAACATCATATGCCACATCTTCAGGGCAAACCTGCTGGCCTAGAGGCGGAGACACTACCACTGTACCACTGTACCACTGTACCACTGGACTCATCAGGAATAGAAGATTTAATATAATCCTTAATTCAGCTTTATCTCAGGCTGCATACAAATGCAGGTAGTCAATCTTCAGTTCTTGGAAAAGCATCATTTGCAGAAAATCAATTGATTGCCTCTTCCAAAGAGCAAATTTAGCATTTCCATGGACCTAGCGCAGGATTAATGTGGGATATAGAATGTATCACCCTCAATCTTCGTAGAAGTAGATAGTGTAAAAATGTGTTCCCTTCTATTTATGGTATAGACATCATTGGCAATCACTCACAAATGAGTATGATTGCCCACCTGGGAAATTCAGTGTCATTGGTCATGTGACTCTGTCCCTGTGGGTCTTTGTATGGCTGATGAGTCAATCCTAGAGTCATGTCTCTGACTACTCATTTGACAGGTATTTCCGAGAGGTGGGTTTGGTCCTTGTCCTTGATCGTTGGCATTCCTTGCCCCAGTTCCTTCCCAGACTTCCTCTTGCCAACATGTGTTCTCAGAGAATTGTGTAACTTTTTCAGAAGGTTCCCGCAAGCTGGTTTCTTCTGAACAAAGATCTCCCGTGCATTCACCTCTATATTGCTTTTTTGTTTGAAGGAAGCTTTCATGGAGCCTTTGAAAGCTCCTTTTGCCCTCCTCTCATTTGAGTGCCTTCCTTGATCTGGGCGAAGATGATTTGCTTTGGCAGTCGGAACTCGGGTATCTTAAGCACGTGGCTGGCCCAGCAGAGTTGGTTTTGGATGATCACGGCCTTGATGTTGCTGCTGTTAGCTGCTTCAAGGGCACTAATACTAGCACGCCTGTCCTCCCAGTTGATGGTATTTCTCAAGATCCTTCAGACGGTGTCTGTACATAATCCAAGTTTCAGGGCCTTGTAGAAGAATCAGAAGAATGACTGCCTTATTCACAAGGATCTTGGTGTCAGCACGATGTCACAGTCATTGAAGATTCTCATCCTTGGGTATCCAAATTGTCAAGAATTGATATTGTGCCAGAAACTGAACGAGATTACCTGAGGCCCCATAGAATTACAGGTTGCAGTGCAAAAAGAGGTCATTTGATAAGAGCAACTCATCACTTCCCCTGTTGACTGCCAAAGATCATTCTCCCTAGGTAATTAACTAATTCATACTTTAACGCCATGATTAAACCTACCTCCACCACTCTTAGGTGGTGCAATCTAGATCCTAACCCCTGACTGTGTAACATTTGTCCTCATTTGGTTCTTCTGACAGTCATCAATCTGTGCCCTTTGGTTCTTGAACTATCCACCAACGGAAACAGTTTCTCCCTGTCTACTTTGTCTGCAGACCACCTTGAGCACATCAAACAAATATCATGTGGACTTCACAAGCTTCAAAATCTCCCTGCCCCCGACCGTATCCCAAAACCAGCCCAGCTCATCCCTAACCTGTCCGTCCTTTCTCCTACCTATCTGCTCCTCCCACCTCAACCCCCACCTCCACCTCCTACCTACCAGCTTCATCCCCACCTCCTTGACCTGTCCGTCTTCCCTTGACTGACCAACACCCATCCTAACTCCCCACCTACGCTCACCTTTACTGGCTCCATCCCCGCCTCCTTGACCTGTCCGTCTCCTCTCCACCTATCTGCTCCTTTATCCATCTTCCATCCGATTCGCCCTCTCTCTATTAATTTCAGAATCCCCTTCCCCTCCCCCATTTCTGAAGAAGGGTCCAGATCCGAAACGTCAGCTTTCCTGCTCCACTGATGCTGCTTGGCCTGCTGTGTTCATCCAGCTCTATACCTTGTTATCTCAGATTCTCCAGCATCAGCAGTTCCTACTGTCTCTGAAACAAATCTCCTCTTGGTCTTCTCTTCTATGTGTAGAACAGCCCCAGCTTCTCCAAAGGCACAAACTGTCAAAAGAAATAGTCACAGCCCCAACACTTAAAATCTTCTTATCTTTGCATTCTTGCCATTGATAAGTTTTCATTTTCAGACTACATTTCGGTAGGTTATGCCTGCTTTAGACAGTTGGCGAATATAGATATTAGACTTTGATACCCACACAACTAAAGTAGAAGCAGAATTTAACCATGTAACTGAGATACTTTATCCCTGGACTAATTCTTATAAATATTTTCCAAACTTTATCCAAAACCGTCAGCTTGTCCCTAAATGTGTAGCTCAGAAACAAATGCAATATTCCAATTAATGCTGAAACAGTATTTTATTAATGTTCACCATTGTTTCTTTTTGACTCTATCTATCCTTAGAAAGCTCAAGATTCTGCATTGCTGTTAATCATTTTATCATTCTTTTTCAGTTGCCCTACCCCAGTGAGTTGAGTACATATCCCCACATACATCTGCTCCTCCAATCCCTTTAGAACCTTTCCCTTTATTTTATGCTTTTCTTTGTTCTTCCTCCCAAAACATATCACTTCACTGTTTTCTGTATTAAATTTTATCTGCCTTGGGTTCTGCTCATTCCACCAGGCGATCTACCTTCTCTTGAAGTCTCTCTATCCTTCTCACAGTTCGCAATACTTCCAAGTCTCTTATCATCTGCAGATGTTTAAATTGTGTTCTGTTCTCCCAAGTCTATGTCATTAGTATAGATCAAGGAAAGCAGTGGTCCTTTTGGGGAACCCCCATTGTTATCCTGTCCTCCAACACAAAATAAATCCATCCACAACCATGCTCTGTTTCCTGACACCCAGCTAACGCTGTGTCCATGCTGCCACTTTCCTTTCTATTTCTAGGGTGTCTGAGGTATCAGGACAGTCTGACAGTGTCCACTGTCCTTTCAGCATTCTGCCAGGCCAAAGCAATTGGTGCTGCCATGTTCCATCTCCTTCTGGCTGTGAAGTGCTTGCTAGCGTCTCTCTGAGGCCTTTCCAGGAACCAGCAGCTACAAGGCAGCCAGAAATGAAGTCACACTTTGTGTGTTTTTCAGGGAGTTGTGATTCACAACAAGAATGAGATTGACTCCATGGCTCCAAGATCTCCAGCTAATTACAGAAGTTTGTTTTCACTTGAAGACATTCTGCAATATAAACAGGTCATTAGTTTTCTAGAACTGAGATACAGAAGAGCCAGCTGTGTGCTAAATGACCCAGTTTATGGCAAGCTGCTTCAGAACAGTATTACTGCTTAAGACCTCAATGGCCAGAAAAACCCATATTTCACTGTCTCAGCAGTGAAACAATCTTTAACAAAGCCCCTGCACTTTCTGTCTTTTGACTAATTCACGGATGGATCTTTCTGCAATATTTGTTTCCATTTTATCAGGAATCAGTGATATGTTATTGGAGAATGAGAGAGATCTCCTTTCTCGATCTTTCAGCTCTGTTTATGGGGAGGATGTAGGAAGTCATTCAGGGAATCGAGGATGGTGAGGAGTTGTGTGGGATGACAGAAGATGAAGATTAGGTAATTAGATTGGAGGCTTATATATTGAGACTGGTGGTGAAGACCCTTGCAGGAGGAACATGACACATCTTTTTATTTGTCTTGTTTAATTTGCCTCCCTTTTCCTTCCTTTCACATGACATTGGCTAAAGTGATGTTTTTCTGTGCTAATATAAGGCAGGGGAGCTTAAGTAGGCCATCCAGCCCATCAAGTCTGCTCCTTTATTTAATGAGATCTGGTATGTTGTATTTAAAAAGATGAGTCTGGTTGAGGTGATAGCTGAAAAAATGTTAAATTTCAGAGCTATTTATAATATATTTTTGATAATGTTGTCAAGGCTGTCATTTCAAATGTAACTAAGAATAGACAAGAAAGTTGATGTTAAACTCACTGGCTTTAAAGCTTGATCTTTCAGACAGAAGTTAAGAGGCAACTGAGTTGCTGTGTGATTGGACTCACAAATAGACCAGACTGGATAATAAGGGCGGGTTTCCTTCCCTACTGATTGATAACTTTTAGCAACAATCCAAACTGTGGTCACTTTTACTGATGTCAGCTTCTTCTTTCCAGCATTTGTAAAACAGAATTCAATTCTGGTGGAATTTAAAACCACATTCTTTGGATCATTGGTGTGGTAACTACATGGCAGGAGCAATTATCTTAATGTGGTGACTGGCAAAAATGTTAATAATTCATTGTTTTTCAACCAATTGGGAGTTAGGTTGACCAAACTAACCCAAACATATTCTCAAATGGTAGTCCTGAATTCTTTTGGGAAATTTCACGTTGGATTCTATCGAATCCCAAGAACTTCCTTTTTTTTCACAGAGTTGCTGTTCTGTTCCCATAGGTGAATGATGAAGTCTTCCTGGCCGAGAAGGCAGGGTTGCTATTTGTCATGGTGGATGCATGTTCTGGAGACATTTTGAGCAGGCAGTATTTTGACACAGCCCATACTCTGCAGGTAGCTGACTCCATTGCTAATTACATCCAGGAAACCATTCGAGAAAGGTAAGCAGATGGCCACTAATCTACTTCCCATAAACTGCCAACTGCCTTTGTGAGAACAGCTGTGATGATTGGGACAGATTGACAAATCATTTCTAGTCTGCTAAGACAGGGTCTGAGATAAACTGCACAACATGAATAGAACCCTTTTTTAAATGTAGTGTGTGCACTAAGAACACTGAGCCTGAGGTACGAGAAGATGTGGCAAGACTGTTTATGCTTCTGTACATAGGAACTAAAATAACTCTGTCTTACTGTCTGACTGTAGAGTGCAAGACATTCTGCTGGGACTTGGGATTTTGAACTGATCAAGAAAATCATAAGGAAACAAAATAAGCTGTATTTTTCAGAAAAGCAGACTCAACAAACATCTTACAAGTAACAAAAAGACTATCAAAACTGTTGCTGTTAACAAAACACTTGACCTCATGGAGGTTGCAAAAATAGAAAGTATAATCATGTCAAATGTTCGAAACCTCAAGATTATGAAACTGAGTTTTATGTAAATTAAAGGACTTACCAGTTCCCTCATTCCTATGCCTTTTACTTGAGGACAACCAAAGAAGAAATAGAACCCCTCTATGTTTAGCATCATGGCTATGGTTAGACCATCATTGGATTAGCTTAGGCTCTGCTCTAATAGCTGACTATTAAAAACTTCCATAATGTAGTTTTGATCTGATGCTGATTACCAAAGGTCTGAGTTGCAAGGAAAAACTATAAATCCAAGGCCTTCTCAACCCTGAAAGGTGGCAAATGAGAGAGTATATTGCAGAGATTTATGAGACAGATGGTGATCCCCAGGGAGAGTGATAAATTGAAATGAACCAAATGATCCCATTGGAAGAAATTGATGGACAAGACGTTTTTGTTTTGTTATTTTTCCTTTGTATTCAAACCAAAATGATCTTATTAATCTTGAATTAACAGATAAATCAGTATCTGATAAAAGTGATAAATTATATTTTAAGTTGTTGATGATACATCAAAGATACATTTCATGGATTTTCTGTCCATTCCATAGACACGTGTTCAGCACCACGTTCTGTCACAAAATTCTTCAAAACTCTCTCTTCCTCCGATGGGGTTCCACTCTCCCACTCGCCACCCCAACCCTCCCCTCGGCCCTCAGCCTGAGTCCACTGACATGGTCTACAGAAAAATGGCCAGTTCTTGTTAATCAATCTCTTCTAAGTAACTGAAACAGTGACAGTTATTTTACTTTTCTGAATCTGGCTGCTAAATCCAGCCAAGATAACAACATGTAGATCTGGATGA